AGCGGGCTGTGGAGCTGCTGGGCCTGCCTGAAGACCGGCCGTGCCTCCTCCTGGATGTGGGGTGAGCGAGGGCCCTGCCCTGTGTAGCGGCACACGGGACGGCTGGGGCTGGGGCCGGGTGGACATCCAAGTACCATACCACCAGCCTCTCTCTGTTGCGGGCTGAAGACAAGGGACCAGGCTGCCATAGCCTTGCAGCTGGCCAGGTCACCCTCAGACCAGGCCCATGATCCCTGCACTTTCTTCCCCGTCTCTCCTCAGCTGTGGCTCTGGGCTGAGCGGGGATTACATCTCTGACGAGGGTCACTACTGGATTGGCATGGACATCAGCCCTGCCATGCTGGGTGAGCAGGCCCTCCTCCCCTGCCACCTTTGCCTCACCTCAGAAGGTGGTCCCCAAAGGTGTGAGCTGTTTGCCTGAGCGTGCTCTGTTGTGTGCAGACGTGGCTGTGGAGAGGGAGGTGGAAGGAGACCTGCTCCTTGCAGATGTGGGTCATGGCATTCCCTTCAGGCCCGGCGTGTTTGACGGCTGTATCAGGTGAGTTTGCGTCCATAAGCGAGCTCTCGATACTCCATATAACTGCATCACCTGTACAGTATGTGTGATCCGTCTATCGTGCGTAACAGGTGAGCACAACTGTCCTTATCAGTCGCTGTCCTGGCTCCACGCAACTTGACCACTCTGGGACAAGCTGCTGAGATTCTGCATGGTAGAAGCAGCTTCCAACAGCTTCTTCCTATGTGATGCTTGTCTTTTTTTGTGCTGGTGAGGCAGGAAGTTTATTGAAGTAAATAAAATAAAATGGGGGATATTGTCAGGAGGGTTGAGACCTGCTTCGAGGAAGAAAACAAAAAGTACATTTGTACCATTGCTCAACAGCAAGGTCAGTCCCTGGATCAAAGGCTTGATGGTTGGTTTTGAGATGAAGGGGCAGGTGAAGGGGACAGAAACACTTTTCTGGTTAGAGAATACCTTGGGAAGGTGCTGAGAAGGAGCAGGGACTGTCCGTTGCTGATCCAAACGCTCTGTTTGGCATTGCTCATTGGCAAAACTTGCATGGCCATGTAGGGACTACAGCTAAGCACGTGAATTATCTGAACACCTGGCCTAAAGGTGATGCTTGGGGATTCTTTTGTGCTTGAATAACAACTGTGCCTTATTGGGTTTTGGCATAGTGAATCTTCAGAGGGGTTTGTTTAGCTGCAAAACAGAAGGCAAAGCTACACAGAGAAAATTAAGTCATTTCCCTGAAGCCTAGCACATGTTCAGTGCTGGAAGTGAGCTGAAAGGGAGGTGACGGGGTCTGCTAAAGAATCGATGGCTCGGTGTCCCATGGGTCTTGTTTTCTTTCTCAGTATTTCTGCAGTGCAGTGGCTTTGTAATGCAGATAAGAAATCACACAGCCCTCCAAAACGCCTTTATCGATTCTTCTCAACTCTTTATACTGCCCTGGTAAGTGTCATGCCCTCCCAGTCAGGCCTCTGCCTGCTTTTACATACTTGCTGGTGCATTTTAGCAAGATACTTTAAGTCAGGTATTTTAAGTAAATGCTGCTTAGAAACAGAGGACTGGCAGGAGCACCCATTTCCTATCTCTGATCCCTGCTGTTACCCCTGTGCCTTGCTGTGCTGTGGAGAAGCTGGCTCTGCAGCCTGAGCAGCTCTCCTGGCAGAGTTCTCCAGGAGGCTTTGGGGAGGTGGGCGCTGGGAATTGGTCTGGGCTAGGAATTGGGTGACTTAGAGGGGTTGCCTGCACTGAGACAGGTTTGTGACCGGCTTTATTTCCTGTAGGCCCGAGGATCCCGAGCTGTCCTGCAGCTGTACCCTGAGAACTCAGAACAGGTACAGGACATCAGTCAGTGGGAAAGAGGTACAGGCAGAGCCAGGCAGAGAAGTCGTGTGCTGTTTGGGGCTCTGAATGCATTGTGTTTCTCCACATCGGGTCTGTGTCTCCATCTTTCCTGCCATCTGTAAAGCTCTTCAAGAGCCCAGAAAAAGCTTACAAGGAGAACACCCTGTGCACTTTCTGTTGCTCCACAGATTATCTTGGGCTAAGCCTTAAAATCAAAGAAGTTGACAGGACACAATCTGAATCCGCTGTCCCGGATTGCCCCATTTGACTGGGTTTGAAGACTGGCCCGTAGTCATCAGCACTGTTAACTCCCTAGGGCTGGAAAATCCAGCCCAGTATCCCTTTCCTAGAGAGTCTGCTGCACCAATTAACCCAGGCTAGACTGGGGAGCAGGGAGAACCAAATAAAGGCAGTGGTGTCCGGATGGTACTGCAGAACTGGGAGCTTGGTGCAATTTAACAGCAGCAGGAACGACCCATCTTTGACATGCACAGTTAGCTGTGGTCAAGCCCAGAGGTCTCTTGGGTGTTGCTGGGGGGTGACCGCTAAATAACTTTTGCATGTGCTGTTTTTTCCAGCTGGAGCTCATCACGGCCCAAGCCATGAGAGCTGGCTTTACTGGAGGAATGGTGGTAGATTACCCCAACAGCACCAAAGCCAAGAAGTGAGTCCTGTGTCTCTGTGTATGCGTGTGTTTGGGGCGAGGCCTGGGTTTAGCAGTGATTCTTCTTTTCCAAGCTGTTTCCTCTCCCATGATACAGTCTGAGGTTACAGCTTAGATCTAACTGTTATAAACAATCTCAGTCTTGTTTGGGGACTGGAAATCACACACTGAATGCCAGCTTCATGCTCCTTATTCGTGTTCTTTCAGGTTCTTCCTTTGTCTCTTTGTTGGGACATCTGGCACGTTACCAAAGGTGAGGAGCTCCGTGAAGCAGCAGAGTTGCTGTCCTGGCTGCTGGGTGACGTGGAAGAGCTGTGGGCGAGGGAAAGTCACAGAATGGGAGCCAGGCAGCTCTGCACGTGCAGATGTGACTTCATTTACACATTTTCTGTCAGTCTGACCAACCCCTGCTCTCCCTGAGATCTGGTTTCTTTGCCACTATTTCTGGAAGACCAGTTTGTTCCTGCTCAGGTCCTTCCCCCTTGCAGAGCCCTGGGTTCTTAATTTCAGTGGCATGACTGTTAGCTCTGTCTGCTCCAGAGGAGAGCAAAGCTTCCCAATTCTGCTTTTCAGGGCCTTGGTACTGAGTGCGCTGATGGAGAAGAGATACACCAGGCAAACTTCACCAATGAGAGGTACCATGTCAGGGTGAAGCTGCGAGTCTTCCCCAAGCAAGGAGTGGGGAGGAGTGGGGGTATAAGGGCTGTGTTTTGCTGACTGAGGGCCACAGTGCTGCTGTGTGAGGAGCGACTAAGGGGAAGGGGCTCGGGGCACTGGGAGGACCCTTGGCAGCCCAGATGGGCACTGCTTTATTTTATCAAAGGGCACCAGGCACAAGGATTGGAGTGGGTTAGTTTGGAGGGCTTTGCTGCGGCATTGTGGGGCTCTTGGTGGTGCTTACCGTAGAGCTGCAGTGGAGCATTTGGTTTGAAGTGTGCTTTCTGTCTGGCACTTGGCCCTCCAGCTCAGCACTATAGCATAGGCCAGTGGTGATGGGAGGCGGAATATTTACAATGCTAGTGATGCCAAGCATGGCTTTTTTTGTTGTTTTTTTGTTTTTTGCTGCTGTGCCTGAAGCCTGGTGTTCCCTTTCTTCTGTTGTCAAATTCTTTGCTTAGCTCTTCTTAGCTGTGGCCTGGGGGTTTCTCCTGCTGGCCAGGTCTCCTCCCGTGGTAGTGGTGCAGGGAGGAGCCCCTCTTGCAGCCAGTGGGAGAGACAGAGAACAAAAAACAGAGGAAAGTCGTCGTGGCTGCCTGGAGCTTGTGGTTGCCATGTTTTCCTGCCTCTTACACTGCTGTTCTCTGCTCACTAAGTCCAGGGGCTACCTGGTCTTGGAGGGCAATAGCAGAACTGGCAACTTGTTGGGAAGCCAGTGTTTCCCCGAGATCCCAGAGCCCAGCATGCTGCTGGTGTGTTGGACCCTTTGGGCACCCACCCCAGTGCTGGCAGACCCTCTTTCATCCCAGGGGTGGTAGGAGGGGCACTTGCTGGTTTTATGAGGCAGAGGGCATGCCCAGTTCTGGGTGACAGTCCTCCAGGGCAGAAAACTCTGCCCCCACCTCAGTTCCTCTCCAGCTGCTGTCTGCTTTCTCTGTAGGATGCGGTTCAGAAATGCCAAGGGCAAATCTGTGAAGAAAAGCCGGGACTGGATCCTTGAGAAGAAGGAGCGGAGACGGCGACAGGGCAAGTAAGTTCAGCTGGGTCCTGCTGAGGCTGCCTGCGCTGGTCTGGCCTGCTCAAACTGTCCTGCTCAAAGTCCTGCCGTGAATGTGCTTCCCTTGCCCCTCCCAGGATGACCTGTGGATCGTGCTTAGTTGCTGTCTGCTTTTCTCCACAGGGAAGTGCGAGCAGACACGAAATACACGGGTCGAAAGCGCCGCCCTCGCTTCTGAGTTGCTCTGGACACTGCTGGCGTGGAAGATGGTGTATTGGTCCCTCCAGTGAGCCACCCATGGATGGCACAGATGGGGGCACCCCAGGCATGGGACTTGCTGGGACAGGTCACTGTGGCTCTTGCAGGTGTAAACTGGCTCAGGCGCTGCCCAGCGGCCAACTGCAAAGCTTCCAGCCCTGTTTTTCTGCTGAAGGTGGAGTGGCAGACAGTGCTGTGGCCACTTGGTGTCCGCAATGCCATTGCTTATCTTCCCAAGTGCACCGAGCCATCTGATCTCCAGGTGAGCCAGTACACTGTATCCAGCTTCCTCACTAAACAGTCAACGAATTGAAGTGTTGCTGGTCTCCTGCGCCCTGCCCGCAGCGCAGGGGAGCGCTGAGGTGGGAACAGAGCACCTAGGTCCTGCCAGTGGTGGTCTCTGCCCACAGGCAGGGAGTCGGGCAGAACACAGGTCCCATGTGAGCAAATCTCCCTCCTGGCAGAAGCATTGCTCCTGCGGTGATTGCTCCTGGGGGTGCCTCGCATTGGGCCTACCCTGTATGCTTGAGTGCCCCCAGGGTGCTGGGGTTCTCCATACCCCAGCCCTTGCTCCCCATCACCTCCTCCCTTCCCCTGAAACACAGAGGTGCCAGCCAGAGGTTTACAGTTACAAATGTTTATTCTACATAAAAATTCCACAAAATGGGAAGCTGTTTTGCACCCAAAGCTTTGGGAGAAGAAAGGGAGGCTAGCAGGGAGGGAAAGGGTGAAGGAGAAAAGAGGCAACACACAGTGTCATCCAGCCCAGTGAGACAGAGCAAGCCAGGGTCAAGATCCACATAGAAAACAAGGACACTTAGCTCACAGTACAGCAACAGTACAACTCCACGGGGGGCTCGGAAAGCCTTCAAGTACGTTAATTACAAAAAAAAAAAAAAAAATCCCCAGTTCGAGTGCAAGCTGTGCGTGCCCCACATTGCTTGTGGAATACTGCATCGCCACGCTCCCGGTGCTGGGAGGTCAGGTGGCACTTGGAACAGAGGTGGGGTAACCCAAAGGACAAGCGGTCTGAGGTTGGGGGCTGGAAAGAAAAAGTGAAATGTCCCCCCAAAGCACAACCACACTGTTGGTGATTTGGTCTGTACATGCAATGGCGGGTAGGTAAAAAGGAACTGAACGGGGCTTCCCGTAGTGCAGGGGTAATTATTGCACCAAAACACCCTCCCCTCACAGCGAGGACAGTGTGAGCCTGCCTGCGGGGTGGTGATGGCAGCCTGCTCTCTGTCTCCCTCGCCTCCCAGCCTGGGGCCGCCACTGCCTGCATGATCCCAGCAAAGTGCCAGTGGCAGCATGGCCAGCTGTGGCCCCGTCTGGCTCCTGCTGCCAGGGGGCTGCTGGCGGTGGTACCAGCAGGGAAGGAGCAAGTGCCAGAATTCCTTGATGGGGGTGGGCCACAGCCCTGATGTCATGTGAGCTTGTGCCACAGAAGCTGCTGTTGGAGTAAAAAAAGTCACCTTGTGCTAGCAGTGGGCATTGCTGCAGGGCGAGAGCCTGAGAGGGGCCTTTTTGCCTGCCTGCCGAGGAGCAGCCCTGCCAGCAGTGTTATTGCTTCCCGGAGGACGGGGCCCAGCGCTGGTGCTGGCTCAGAGCAGAGCACAGGCTGTGGTGGCAGGAGCTGTGCAGTTCCTGCAGCCAAACACATCCCTGTGGAGCAGGGACGCTGCCCATGCCTGCCCCCTGCCCTGGAGGGGGCTCCAGAGCCGGCTTGCCCCTGCTTGCAGGGGTCCCGAGCCCTTTGGTGCGCACAGGCTGCAGTGCTTTAGCTCACATGGTTTATTGAGGGACTGTGAAAGAAGGGGGCTCTGGTCTTGGGTGTTCCCATGGCCACACCCACTGGGGGCTCGGCTGGCTAGGGCCAGGGGCCCGGGCTGGACATGCGTCCCAGGGGTGGCTGAACACAACCGGGGGCTGTGCTCTGTGACCTCTCCTAACAGGGCAGGGAAGGGGCTGTGTCTGGGCTGCTGTTGGCAGGACTGCACCTGGGGAAGCAGCACTGTGGCTTGTTGCTGCCCCACACCCATGGGCACCGTACGCAGGGCCAGCACCTGCACTACAGCACCCAGCCAGGGTGGAGGAGCGCAGGGTTGGGTCGGCCCTGCCCTCAGCCTAGTTGGGTGCCTGCACACTGCCTGCAGCTGTCGAGTACCCTTCTGCCACCAGCGCCTGGGCTCGTGCCCAGCCCCTGTCCTGGTGTGTGACTGGGAGCTTGGCCTCCCAGGTGCTCTGGGCTCCTCTGTAGAGCTTTGGCATGTGCATGGGCCAGCTGGAGCCCTGGTGTCTCCCAGGGAATGTGAGGGCAGAGCCCTTTCCCCAGCCTAAGGAAAATGGAGAGAAGCAGCACAGGGCCCCTCTGAGCTGCCAGCAGGCTCAGGCCACCTCACAGCGGCTGCGTCCATGTAGCAGGCGCAGCAGAGGGCACCGGGCACCCAGGTGCTCATGCAGCACGCCACTGAGCATGGGTGCCCACTGGATGGCCCAGGGATGAGCAGGCAGAGGGGCACTGTGCCAGGAGGAGCTGGCAGGGCCAGGTGGGTGCCAGAGGTGGCGAAGCGATGGAAGGGGCAGTCAGGCACTGCCCTGCTCAGGGGCTGGTGGGGTGGGGGAAGCGTTGCTCCTACCTTGCAGGGGGGTGGATGCAACAAGGTGGATACTCCTGGGACCACAGCAGGAGAAAATCCAAGTGCCTCCAGCCCCCAGCATGGGCGCCTATGTGGAGAAGTGAGGCTGGGAGCAGCCCTGCTCCCAGGCAAGCACAGATGGGGGCTGCGGGCATCAGAGCCGGCCCCAAGCCTCAACGGCCAGAGCCCCGGCCTGGGGGCAGCAGGAGCCAGAGCCACCCTGTACTGGGGCCAAGAACAGAACGATGAGGCTTGGGTGCAGAGCAAGCGGCAACGTGCTGGCCTTAAAGTACCTGTGCCCTCCTGCCCTGCCAGGCCACACCACACCGCAGTGCAGGGATGTGGCCGATGAGGCTTGGGTGCAGAGCAAGCAGCAACGTGCTGGCCTTAAAGTACCTGTGCCCTCCTGCCCTGCCAGGCCACACCACACCACAGTGCAGGGATGTGGCCTGTCCCTGTCGCCAAGCAACTGTGACGGCCCCACACAGCAGCTCCTCGTCCCACGCTGCTCCATCAGGCGCCCACCAGCAGCAGTGGCATGTCCAGCCCTTGGCTCCCAGCTGGGGCCCTCGGCAGAGTAGCAGGGATGGAGCCCCACCACCGGGCACGGGCACGGGGCAGGCTGGGAGGCAGGGCCTGGCAGAGCGCACCCCTGGGGAAGGGCCCCGTGGGAGAAGCAGCCCAGTGAAAGGTGTTAGCAAGCGCAGACGCAGCTGACAGACATGAGAGCTCTGGCTGGAGGTGACAGGGAAGCTGGGGGAGGTTGACTGGGCACAGTGCTCCCAAGGACCCAAACACCCTTCGTCAGTCCCTCTTCATCCTCTCTGTCACTAACACAGACTGCCCAGCACAGGAGGAGCAGCAGTGCCCAAGGGCACCTCTGTCCCCACCTGGTCCCAGCCCCCCAGCCCGGAGCAGTGATGAGAGCTCAGGTTTCTCCCCCAGGGTTCCCCGTGTGCCCATCACCACCCCTGCACCCTGCCTGCGCCCCGGGGCCGGCACTCCCTCCACACAGATGCACCGCACACACAGCATCACAAACAACCATGCATTAGAAACTGAAATGCTGCTGGGAGGCTCCAGGGCTGCATGGGTCACTCCGGCGTGGCTGCAGCCCCATGGCACGCACTGCTCCGTCCATCACACACAAACAGTCCCATGGGGTGAGTCTAGCCAAAAATACCGCCGAAGGTGGAGGCAATGACGATTCCCAGGATTACACAGCAGATTATGATCATGATCTTCTTCTGCTCGCGTGTCCCAGCACCAGCAGGGAGAGAAGGGAGAGGATACTGTGAGTGTTGGGGTTGGGCTGTCCCCGAGAGCTGGAGGCTGTGATCTGCCCTGCTCCTGTTTGCCCGTGGTGGGCTCCAAGCAGCACCCTGGCAGCCAGAGGGGCTCCAGCAGCCCTGGGGCAGGGATGAGCACCCCAGCTCCCCCTTCAGCCCTGGGCTGGCACAGCTGAACTGGTGGCCCTGGGTCCCCAAGATGCCGAGCTGCTACGGGACTGGGTGTGGGGACCAGGACAGGCAGCTGGCACTGCACGCAGGGTCAGAGCTGGATCATGCCTTTTCTCTACCTTGTTTTTGGGAAGGGCCATGGCTCTCACAGCAGGCCTGGCCCACAGGGTCCACCCTGTCCCTTTTCCTCCCCCCACGCAGCACCCCTGCCCCACCGCTCCTCATCAGCACTCATGCAGCCTGCGCTGGAGAGCTTTGCCTCAGCTGGTGCCACCCACAGGACCCACACTGCACCCAGTGCTGTGGGGTAAAGCAGCGCTCAGGTACCCCTGAGGCTGCACCGTGCTGCCCACTCCTCCGTGCAGGCAGGGGTGCCAGGCAGGGGCCTGCCCCGAGACAGAGGTGTCAGCGGTGTAGGCAGGGGAAGACAGGCCCCAGCCAGTGCCATGACTCACCCGTCTGGCTTTGCTCTGGTACTTCACTGCTTTTTTGGTGTCAGACACAGCCCGCTCCACGTAGTCCACTGAGTGCTCCACATTGTACTCGATGCGGTCGATCATCTCGCCCTGCAGAGCGGGGACAGAGCCCACACGCCCGTGCGCACAGATGTGAGCTTGTTCCTCCCCTGCTGCTCCCCAGCTCCATGGGATGTCACCCAGCACCATGCAGATGTCACCCTGCCCCGCAGCCCTGCACAGGAGAGAGAGAGTGACCCTCAGTTACCTGCAGGCAGTGGGTGCCCCAGGGTGCCCTGGGCTGGGGACTCCGGACCATGGGCTCTCTCCCAGAGGGCTGGGACCTCTGTGCACACCCCAGCAGGGAGGCAAGCAAGGGTGAGGGTCAAGGGGGTTCCCCAGCCTGGTCCTGGCCTGGTGACCACCTTGTCTGATGCCTCAGGTGTCATCAAAGCCACAAAAGGATTTGCACTGATGCTGTGCGGCACACTGTTGAAACCAGAGGCATGGTGGGGAAGCAAGGACAGCACCAGCAGCGCCATGTGGGATGCTCACGAAGCCACATGCATGCAGGGACGACAGCTCTGACCCACACGAGTGCCCTGCCAAGAGCAGAGGGCCTCGGTGCAAGGCTGGCAAGGCCAGACCAGCGGGTGCTGCAGGGACTCCTGCCCCACTCTGCCCCAGGGCTGCAGGGGTGGGCTGGGGATGTGCACTCCTGCAGATGCGGGGACACAACTGGGGTGAGCTCCTCCGGAGCCTGCCCACCTCCTTCAGCCCCCTCCTGACTGCACAGGGAAGCAGCCAGGTCCTGCAGCAGCTGGAGAGAGTCTGACAGTTCAACAGGGTTGGCAGGGGTTGGGGGGCTCGAAGCCCCCGTGCCCTCCTGCGCGGCATGGAGGGAATCAGATAATCAGGGCTGCAGAGCTGGAGGGCCGTGACCAGCAGCTCTGCAATGCTCACTTCTCAGCCTAAGGCTGGAGACCATGGGGAGGACGAGCCTTGCGAGCCCAGAGGTGCTCTGGAGTTACCCCCTCAAAGCACTGTCCCCCACCAGGCTCCCTGCTGCCGCTGTCCCATGCCTGTGATGTGCCAGCCTGGCTGCCTTGCTGCTGCTTCTCCTTCCCACCTGTGCTATGCCTGGGGCAGAGCAGGCAGCTGCCGGCACTGCTGCCAGCCTGGCGACCCTCTGCTCCTGGTACGAGCAGCTCGGAGCCTCCCACCCCGCAGGGCAACACAGGGTGCTGGCACGGTCTAGCCCTTCGAGGGGGGTAGGGCTCTGTGAATCCCCCACATCCATCCCCCAAGGCAGACACCAACGCCACTGTGCCACAGCCACCCTCGCCCATGTGCTGCGGGCAGGCCCTGGCGCCACGTGAGAGCTGCAGACATGCAGGGCGCAGCCATGCAGAGCAGAGCATGCAGCACCGGTGAGGGCTCGGCAGGGCTTTACCTGCCACTGATGTCTCCTCAGGCCATGGCAGCATGGTGGGCAAGAAGGGGGGTGAGCAGAGACATTGGCGCACGTGCCTGGCTGAAGGGCCAGGTGCCGCGGGCTGGCGGCACAGCTGGGGC